CTTAACGATAATCAATAATACTACTACTTCAACCATACTATAAAACATCGACTTTCTAATAATATCTGTATTTATATAAATAATCTGTATTTGAATATATTAATACTCATATTTTCATATCCCTTCAATAGTATTCATACTTTCAGTAATATAGAATCTAATATCACATGTATATATATTTTCGAAATATTCGATAATTATTCTTCGAAATAATTAATTATAATATATAAACCGAAACTCAAGAATACAATATATATATATAATTAGATTGGTTCTTTTATATATTCTATAAATATTTATATAAATAAATAATAGTTAGTAATTAGAGTTTTTATAAAGTAAGATCTTATAAGATATGGAAATGTTAGAGTTTATAATATAATACTTTTTATCTCTTTATCATCGATCTTGAAGTCTTTAATTCTTTTTTATCATTCCCTCCCTTATTCTTATTCGAATACTCACCCGAATAGTTATCTTTTCTTTTATTACTATTTTTATCTTCATCTTCATCTCTGTCTTTATCTCTGTTTATTTCTATCTCTATCTCCATCACCATCTCCTTCATTTATCATTCATTATCTCAATAGATTTACTAACCCCATCACCCACACACCCACACACCCCTTCCCCACCCCCCAAATTATATTATAACACATTCACAACACAACACCAAACAACACAAACAACAAATCCCCTCCCTATCCCCATTCTATTGAAATTTTTAAACTTCTATTGTATCCTTCCTATCCTACTATATTCACATAACACTACCTAATACTTATCTACTAACCATCAAACAATACAATATCTTTCTATCTCTCATTTTCCACTCCAATCCCATCATCCCATCATTCAATCATCAAAATCGTTGATGCGGTATGTATGCTTTCTTCATATATCTCTACATACCCATCAGACTCCCTTGCTTTTTCTTTCCTGTTCATTTTCTCCCCTCTCCGTACTTTTCCCATTTCATCCTATGCTATCCCATCCGATTCCAAACCATACCATACCGAAGCAATCCATCTATACCACATTATAAGTCTACCCGCGACTAACCAAGAGGACCTCAATTCCAATTCCAGTTCCGATTTTAATCCCAATTCCAATTCCTATTTATTATCCATAAAATCATTTCCTCACCCCCTCACCTCTCACCCTCAAGCTCCCTGAGCCAACTCCTGCAACTTAACCTTCTCCTCATTCGTCAACACATTATACAATTCATTAAACCCACCCAAATTTTCCCTTCCTGCCTTGATGAAAAATTCCATAAGATAAACTTGCGTCTCATCATCTCTTTCACGCCCAAAACTACCTTTCCCCTCACCAAATGCCATCAAATCTGCCTTTGTAGCTGATAATCCCAAATCCAAAACATTTGGTACTTCTTCCCAAGAATCACGATCACCCTCTTCATCCTCAAAGTCCGCTGCCGCAGCGGCAGTAGATGCATTCTGAATTCCGGATGCGGATAAAAGTTCTTCAATGAGGACTTTGACGATTTTCAAGGATGCCGGAATGATGGTATATTGGTCGGGGTCTGGTCGGCGTGTTAATGGTGGAGGGGACGCGAAGTATGATCTGTACTTACTAAGCCTGGCCATGGATCGAGTCATGATACGATTGCTGGTCGGGATGATCAATTCACCCTTGACCATCGTCTGAGCAACCCGTTGATCGTTGAGACTGAAAATTTTGGAAAGTGCGATGACACTTTTTTTGATTAGCGTCTGGCGGTAAAACTTGACGAGAGAGGGTAGAAGAGAAAACATACTTTTGTCTAATTTCATCATATCCTGCAAAATTGACCGAATGTTCCAACCATTTACTTAAAACAACTTGCAAGCCACTTTGACCGTCAATCTGAATCTGGTTCAAGAACTCAACAACATCAAGTGCTCCAATCAAAGATAAGCGAGCAAAGACTAAGATCAAAGATTGAATGAAAGGAGCAGCTTCAGCAGTAACTAGGCGTGTCGCAACAGCTTTTAAAAGTTGTTCCAAATAAGGGCCAAGGCGTTCCTGACCAGCTTTCTCTACGAGTTCAGCTGCGAGGCCTCCAACTTTCGATGCTGCATTATCTTCCAAAGTAGGACCAAGTAATCTATCAATAATGATGAGACATACTTCCAGACCCGACCTGTTACTCTCATCATGCCAAGCGAAGACTTGTTGGTGATCATGCATAAGCATGAACTTGACTGCCTGAACACCTGGTCGTAAAATTCCACCTTCAGTTGTGGTCATCAAAAGTCGATTCAACTTAGGTAGTACTGCTGCAACAAATCCAGGGGGAAGTGGCTCTGATCCATTCTCGGTGAGGAGTTCAAGTAAGTCTGCGGCAAGCTAGAAAAACACATTAGCACCGATTGTAAAAAAAATAAAGATATTGTCTTACCTCTATCAAAGGATCATCATCAGTCATAGCTCCCACATCAAATGCACCCGTCAAAGAAGGAAGTACTTTAGTACACAAAGCTGCGAATAATTCTCCACCAGCAAACGATGTAACAATATCCTCAAACGTATCAATGACCAATGTAGTCAATTGAAAATTTGAGGCTCCATGCTTGGCAATAACGAACAAAAGATCCAAAGCTCCCGATTCATTGGAAAGTGTGATTCTTGTATCCATCAGAACCACACTTCTTAAAGATTCAACCAAGGTAACAAGAAGATCATCTGCAGTTTCGAGCTCCGTAAGATCTTTTGAGTAAAGAAATTCGGATAAGGAAGCAATTATTGTCATTTGTTGATCAGCAGGTACATTATGAGCGTCGACGAAGCCCTGTAGAGATTTGATACAAGAGACTTTGACAACTTCGTCGTCATCCGAGTTGACAGCTCTAATCGTGCGGTCAAGTAATCCAAGAGCAACGTCTGGTATATTTTGTACAAGAATACCAGCAACCAAAAAGCCTCTGGCTCGCAATAAAGGCTCTTCTTTTCTGTTGATAGAATAGTCGATAAAAGGTAAGAAAGATCCGGACATCTCAGGGGTAATGTCATTTCCGACATCCAAGAAATCGTTGCTCAGCTGCGTAGTGAGGTATAATACTGCCTCTCTGATTTTCCATGTCGCAGCATCCGAGGAGAATATCATTTGGCAGTGTGCCAATAAACCTTCCAAAGCACCTTGAGATAACCACTCGCCAAGTTTGACTATGAGGTCTCCACAAGCCATTCTAAGTGTGTATTGTGTGGTAACGGACGTTTCCTCGGCCAAGAACAAATTGACATCAATATCCCATAACTCTTCCTCTTCCCTTGGAATTTGCGCATAGCTTACAGCAAGCTTCATGATATCAATAACCCAAGGTGTAGTGGCCACACTAGCATTTGCTTGTAATTGAGCCTCGAGTTCTTTTTGTACCGGTGGAGCTTTCAAGCATGAAACCAAAAAGTCGACTTCCTCCAATACCAAAAAATCCAAAGTATACGGTAAATTGTCCGCATCCTCCATACGACCTTGCATATCATTATCGATATACATCCCCTGATGTGCACTTTGTACAATTACTAGTTCCTCCCATGTAGCGCTGAACAAAACCGGACTTTGTGGAAGTAGCAATTTTGGGAAAACCGAGCGAATCTTCACCAAAGTCTTTACAACTTGCGTCTTTAACGCAATTACTCCACGCCATTGTTCACCGACGGGTCCATCCTCTTCTCCTTCTCTTGGTCGTACAGGCAAAGTTTGCTTCATGATAGCCAAGAAGTATGGCGACCAAGATTCCAGAACCTCCTCTGCAAAGGCTCTAACCTCTGTTCCATGTTCATCCTTGACCATATCCATAATGTCGAATGTGCCCCGGAAAATGGATACCGCCAACGCTCGTAAATTTCCTTTGCGCGCATCATTGATTACTACACCGTACACTGTATTGACAATATCTCGTGCGACTGAGAAGAACTGGTCTTCAGTCAGACTCTCTTCAACCAAATCTCCCAATACTCTCAATGATCCATGTAATTGTAAATCTGTGCCGGTTTGAATATTGTGTAGAATCGTAGGGAGGAGATCAGGCCATTCATCTGGATAATCGACGTTGGCGATTTTGCTAACTACCATGCTATTCATCAAATTATCTATTAGCACTTCCAATTCCCAACCCAACAAAGTTACCCCTCCATCAGTGATCCCCAAAATAGAAGCTTGCACAGAAATTCCACATACCTAGCTGCACGCTTAATCCTTCTTGTATCTACATCACTCGTCGCGAGCTCCAACATTCGTGCTCTAATCTCTCCCTTTGCGCCCTCCTCGATTTGAACACTGGGCATGCCATTGTCATCCACTCCGGTCCAGTTTCTGGTCACAAAGTTTTTTAAGTTTAGCAGAGCAGCCTGTCGAACCTCAGAAGCGACCGTTCCATGCGAAGCAATTAATGCGAGTGTAGAGGGAAAAGCTGGATCATTTTGCGCGGTGTGTAGGTAATGTTCTGCTTGTCTGCGGGGTCCATCTGCAGATGATTGAGTGTCTGCGAGTACTTGCAGAAGCTGTGTTTCGTGAGGTGATGACATGTTCGATTTTCTGTTTTTATAAAATCAGAAGGAATCAAAGAAGTATCGCAAAATTGAGCGACACCGTTGTGTAGGTGATGACAATGTCAAGGACAAGAAATAACTTTTGGGAGTGAGAAGTGAAGTGTTGGATTTGTACATATGTACTCGGTACGCGATTATTGATCTGATAACTAACTCACCAATCAGCGACGAATAATTCGTACTAAATCCACTGCTTGAGTTCTCTCACTCTACTCTTCTCTCTTCTCTTGAAAATTCACAAAATCTTTACTTTCAATTTATAATATCAAACTCAATTATGATTATTTATATATTCAAAATCTTTTCTAATAAAACTTTTAATTAATCGAGAAATATCGAGCTTAATTAATTTCGACTCTTTTAATAATAGTTTTTCCGATTCCGATATTAATTCCGATTGAAATCTATTAAAAAGCTTTTAATTCAGTATATAATCTTATAAAAACTTATAAAATCATTATAACTTTAATAATTAGATTAAAGCCATTAAAGACTTTTATAATATATAACTATTATTAGATTAAACTATTTATTAAGCTAGAAATTATTAAAATCTTCGATTAAGATAATAATAATAGTAAAATAAGAATGAGTATTTAATAATTATATTTTAAATATAATCAACTTAGAGCTTTTTAGAACTTTTTAGATTATTATTATTATTACTATTATTATAAACTAGCTTTTATCTATTAATTATTTAGAAAAAAAAAAATCTAGTACTCGAGTATAATTAATAAATATTGGAAAGTTTATATAATATTAATTTATATTCAAAAATTACTCTTTTAAAATTAAGATATTATAATAGATATTTTAAATATAGCTTATAGAATTGAAAAATAATCTCAATTTATTTATATATCGAATATACTCGAGTAAGTATATAAAATAATATTTATTTATTTAAAATTGAGTTTCTAAAGATAATAGCTATATACTCAAGTAGTAGAGTTTTCTTATTCTTTATTATTATAGTATATAGATTATTATATATCAGAATTTTTCAGAAATTATTAAATAATATCTTTGTAGAAAATATAATATTATATCAAAATAGAAGTATAAATCAAGATTATTTTTATAGATCTAATAAGTTTTAAGTTTCTATTACTAATCTAATAGAAATTCTTTATAAGATATATACTTACTAGTATTATTTCAGATTTGTTATTTTATAAGATATATACTTACTTAATCTGGTATTTCCAATACCAACCCTGCCCTGTTTTGCAACACAGACTTTTCCAAGTACCAATACTAGTACATGGAATTGCGACGATTGCAGTACCGGCATACACCATACAGGTCGATGTCGATACGGTCCAGAACCCCAAAATTAGCATTCCATTATTACTGAATACATTCAACAATTTCTTCAATAGATTCTTCTCAACCCACCAAAAAATAAAGCTTTCAATATCCAAACTCTCAAGGCAATCCCATCAACAGACTACCTCCAACACACAACACACACCAACCCCCGCCGCCCCTCATGCCCGCCCCTCCCCCGCCCCTCAGTACCCCCCACTCCCTCCACGCACACCTCCTAAATTTCCTCACCCTCTCCATCCACACCATCCTCTACACCCGATCTCTCTACCCCCGCACCACCTTCCTCATGACCCGCGCTTTCAACTATCCTGTACCTCAAAATCGGCATCCTGAACTCTGTTCTTATGTTAATTCGTGCGTTTCTTCTCTTGTTCCTTATTTAAGATCGGGGAGTATTGCGAGTGTGGCTGTTGTTGTTTATTGTGATGGGATGAGGGATGATGATGGGAAGAGGAGGGATGATGGGAAGGAGATTAGGATATTGGAGAGGTATATTTTTGATATTTCGCGATTCCCTGCTATTCCACCCTCGGAAAATTTGACGGAGTTTGAGGATAGGGCGGGAGGTGATAAGGATGACGTGAGGAATGTAGATGTAGAAGAGGAATTAAGAGCTGTGTTGAGAAAACTAGCGTATAGTGCGGGGAAACTAGAGGAATTGAAGGATCCGGAAGAGTGCACGTGGGGACTGGTTATGGAGATGAAGGAGGATGAGGAGTGGAAGGAAGTGGGTAATGCGCCTATTAGACATCCACAAGTTTTTGAACCGGCGGTGCCGGAATTGCAGGTTCCGGACGGGAGAGCAGGCATTGATGTAAAGGGGAAGGGAAAAGCGAAGGCGAAAGAAGATGGAATGGATGCAGAAGGCGAAGTGAGACCAAAAGAGAAGATGAAGAGTAGAGTAGGAAGCGCAAGGGGTGGTATAAAGAGTACGGCGATTCGAGCAGTGGAGGTAGGGGAATTTATAATGGAGGCGTGGATTGAGGAAGGGAAGGCAAAGTTTGAAAATTGGGGTGAGCATGAGCATGAGCATGAATATGAATATGAATAAGCCGGGTCTGTCTGAGGGATGATGCATCATTATCACTACTCGAGTATAATACCATACCATACCCATCCGAAACGATACCATACAAAAGCATCCGAAACGAAACAAAACGAAGATACGAATCACAGGATAGGATAGGAAACGGCCATAACATAACCTACCTATATGTATATGTATATGTACCTACGAGTATAACCGAACGAGTGAATATCAAAATCCAACCCCAAAATCACACACCAAATCCAACACCAGCCCCCATCCCCATTAGTAACATAACACACCACCACTCACTCAACATAACATACCAGCACTCACTCAACATAATCCAAGTTCCAACACAATCCAAGTTCTAACTCAACATGATCAATCAAATATAGCAAGCATAGGAAAATAAATCAAAACCAATCAATGAATCGAACACCCACCACCTAAGGATGAACAGAACAGATGAATGAATAGATTAATGATGTTTGGTGCGCTGAACCAATCCAATTCAATTCAATCCAATCCAATACATGATATGATATGATATGATATGATATGATTAGCTACCTACCTACGATTGAATCTACAAACTACATACATACACTCTCTCTGCTCTCTTTACTTTCGCTACTGAGCTACTCTGAGAATCGAGAATCTCCAGAAACCCACTCACTACACCACACTAGGTATGCCTCGCCTACCTTCCCTATGCACGCACGCAATGCACGGTATGCCATTTTAGCATGTCAAATTCAAATTGTTACCGCCCTGCCCTGCCCTGCCCTGCCTTGCTCCGCTCCGCCCTTAGCTATGCGTAGATCACCAGGTCACTGGACCTTCTGTACTCTATATTTTGTATTCTGTGTAACACATATACATCCACCCCATTCTCCACACTTTGACCCCACTATCACATCTTTGTCCACCGACCCACCCCCACCACCACCTATCTAACACCACCCAAACTTTTCATTCCCCCACCACTCCACCTCCTGCACCGACCCCTCCCCCTCTCCATACCACATCAAACTCGCCACACTCTCCTCCTCCCTCTCCACCTTCATATGTTCACCTTCCAACTTCGACCTATTAATCAAATCTTGCACCAAAGTCGTTGGATTCCAAAACTGCACATCATTCATTTTCCACTCCTTTGCTTCCATTTGCGCAAATCGTAAAACAGATTCTAATTTTCGAGCATTGTCTTCGCTGTTGATTTCATCCTCGATGACGAGACGGAGAATGTGGAGACAGTTTCCGGAAGCGGGGGTATCGATGGGACCGTAGTAGCCGCGGGTCCAATAGGCCCAGACGCGAGATCCTTTGGTTGTCCCCGAAATGGCACCTTTGATTTCGGGGGCGTGGCCGAAGATAGATGTAGACATGGCGTTTTCGCGGAGATGGTGCCATTGGACGGTTGCGTAGTCGGGGAGGAGAGCGATGTGAGTTTTGTGGTCTGCGGAGGCCCGTTCTAGCACTTTACGTATGTATTGTACGTCTAGTTCGCAGAGATCGGGGATATCGGCGGCTTTTAAAGGCTTGGCTATGCTGGATTCTAAGGTGCGTGCATCTTTGGGGATGGGGGGAAGGGCAATGTGTGAGCTGGGAAAGGGAAGCCAACCGTGATTGGCATAGAATTTCTTGCCGATGTCTGAAAAGAGAATGGAAGCGGGGATGTGTGAACGACCGGGGGTATGGCTATCGAGTTGCCATGTTCGGAGAACCTTTCCCAGATCTGTCATCATTCTAGATGCATATCTATGGCCTCTGTTCTTGGGTGAACAGAAAACACTTCCGATTGAATGTATGATGACTTCTTCGACTTGACCTTCCTTTGATATGAAAGCTCGTTTGCGAAGGGATTCGCAAGAAGCATAGATTTCTCGAGAGTTGGGAGGAGCATTCTTGTCGACTAAACACCAATATGTTATTCCATCCTCGAAAGTTAGAGGGACGCTCGCAAGATATTGTTCTCGATTAAGGTAATCCGATTTGGAGAGTGCTTTTCCCCATTCTTCATAGTTCAAATTCCATGTTGCCAGTTTCTCTTCGGGAGTGGGATGTGTCAAATGGAGATCTGGTGAGTTGTAGTCAGGAAACATGTTTGATGGGTATGATTAGTTGATGAAAGATAGAATATTGGATTCTCTGTCTGTAATATTATCTGGCTCTTTAATACTGGAAGTTGATAAGAAAGTGGTATTCTAATAAAAGAAGTAATCTTGACTTGTGGGGAAAGCACCTTCTTTGTAGAGATTCAATACCTACCTTATCCTTGATTAACGCCTCAGTTCTATAGTAAAAATATTCAATTGCGGAGTTAGATTCGAAATGCAAGACAGTGAAATGAAACGAATGAAACGAATGATTAACAATTGGTGAATATCAGTAACTCTCACATCAAATGATCATAACTCTCGGCATGAAGCTGAGTTCTTCTTAGTCAAAGCTCTTGTTTGATAATGCTTGATCCATCTTTTGATTCGTATTTGGGAGGTGAGGAGTGATGGGTTTGATGAATGGAATGGATTGAATGGGGTTTGAAAGAATACGGTAAACGGTGAGATCCGGGGCCGATAATAGCCGGGTTTGCGGAGATATTGATACGGGTTTAGTTTCCGCTGTCTTTCATGCCGATGTACGAGTGTAAAGCTTCATATTATTTTATTGTTTTGTTCGATACTTGAGTAGTAGGTAGTAAAGATGCGAAAGTGAGGATATACTTATATCAACGAATCGAAATGAGATGGAGTTGTGTTGTGTTGTGTTGAGTTGTTGATTTGAATTATTGAGTTATTAAATAATGACATGGCTAGGTAATTCGTGAGTTGCTTATCAGTTAGTTATCAGTTATCGATAAGAATAAGGTTGATCGTCGTCGTCATGTGAAAGTCTAAAAGATGATGATCTCGATAAGTAATTAGGTAATTAGTCTATTTATCAAAATCTAGTCATGAATTGCTCTAACCAGGAATTGTGAGTAAATATGTAAATATCCTGGGTATACCGGTACCGGGACTGGATAACATTAACCTGCCCGCCTCATCTAGGAAAGTAAACTAACTCTGTAGGCAAATAGGATATATTAAATATTGATGGTAAGGTTAGTAGAGCAAGATGAGACCAAGAGCGAGTATAATCTTATTTTTATTCTTTTACTTGGGTACCTACCTAGTACTCTTAATCAAAACGAAATATCTCTAATAATTCAAATATAATCCGGGGATTATCATTATCATTATCATTATCATACATACCTACACTTGATCGACCAAAACATCTATCCAGTATCCCGTATCCCAAACTCCTCTCCTCTCATCTCCTCTCCTCTCTCAAAACCCATCTAAATATACCCACCCTACCCTCTTACCCTCTTACCCTCTTACCCTCCTACACTCCTACCCTCGCACCTGCACCTACTACCTACCTAGTACCATATCAATATAGAACCACAACAGAATTCGTGAGTACAAAAGTACAAGTAAACAACGTGTTGTATCACTACACCTACCTACCTACCTACCTCCCAATAACTCGTACATCATCAATAAGACCCCGATCACACCAAACAGAACCCACCGATCACACCGATCTAATAACGATCGCTACATCCCTCATCTGCTGTGTTCATAGACTAAAAACCCTATGAATTTGAGATGCTAAGGAGAATTTCCCGATTGACGGATCGTTGGTGTTTTTTTTTTTTTTGGGTGTGTGTATACGGATTTGTACTGTAGTGATATTGGGGTGGAGTGTATATTGTGTTGTGTTTGTTTTGAGGATGAAATTAATTGGGTAAGGGTTATAATCAGAAATATTTGTAGATTGAGATTAATTGTATGTTGTTGGAGATAAACTCGAGTATACCTGGGTGCCTTGGTGGACTCGTAGAGTGATGGGTGAGGTAAGTATAATGAATTCATTGATTACTATTGGCCGGTATATGATGGATTGAATTGATCAAGTGATACTAACTAAATTAATCCTTCTAGAAGAATTCCGTTTGTACAACTCTATGATACCAAGGTAAGGGTGGGTTGTTACTTTCCCGACTCATTCACACCATAACAATCTATCCCATCATTCCCCTTTTGACAGTAATTCATGAAGCTCTGACCATCATTGAAAGTATGGAGCAAAAAAGTGGAAAGAAGTCGAAATAGTAATAGTGGAGAAGATCATCATATTTTAACCTATCATATTGGATTATTTTTAACATGCATAAATTAAAAATATCCATGATAACTGATAATTGTGATAAGGATGGATTACCTAGTAGCTTCCTTTTCTCCGTTTCCATTTCTCTTCCTCTCCCCTCTCACTCTCTCATTCACATAGATCTTCCCTCTTACTCACTCTACCGCTAATCTTCGTTTGATATCATGAAGTAATTGTCACCTTCCTTCCTTTCCCACCCTGGCAACCATCAATAACAAACTGTTGGTAAACATCTTCTCTTCTCAAACTTTTGGCAAATCCTTAATGTTTTATTCTCCCTTCAACCTCCACAAATCATCATTGTGAGATATAAATTAAAAATTAAATCTACCGGCATCGGCATCTGATCTTCTCCACATTGATAACCCCTCACTCAATAAATCAACTACTTGACATCTTCGCCGATCCCTCCCTCCATCTTCCATGGTATGATCTCATATTTTAAACTTTTCATCTTCCAACCTTTGAAAACTTGGAGATTCCAAGGATATACAGATAGATGACTTCTTATTTGTTTTCTTTTATACAAGACTCATTTCAAGAGTCAACTCGAGAGCTCTAGAAGTCACCACTTTATCTCGATTCCTACCAACACTCAGGAAAAGCTAACTGACCTCGAATTCTCTACTTGGTATAGTACAAGTTCAACCCTAGTACCATCATAGTTGTGGCCAACAAAGTTTCGTTCGCTCACTGAAAAATCTTTTCCAACTGTCACTTAAAGGTTTAATCATCATTAATATGCAAAATAATTGTCTCAACCTTCAAGACCACCATATTCACGGCGAGACAACGACTTGAACTACCTTGACCGACCACCTACCTACAAATTCCTTTTATTAATCAAGTGAGTGCATACTCAAGTTTACAGTCACTCTCTCGACATGAGTCAAACGCTTCCACGTAAACCTCCAGGTGGTTCATCGACCAAAAATTCGAATTACATCAAAAGGGAAGCTGGCAACTACATCGAGATTTCCGATTCCTCAGATGATGACGATGAAGATGCCGACTCTCAACTTCTTTTGCAACGTCCAATTCAACGTCCTGCAATTTTAAGATTACCAAATAATCAACCAATAGCCCTTTTCGGTGCCAATGATCAGAACGATTTCAATCTACCATACCCTGCAATTCCACTTCCAAGATTACAAGACAATCAACCTGCAGCTGCCGCGGTACACAAAGACTATATGAATAACGCTCCTATCGTCAAAACTGAGAAAGTCATGACGCAATGGGACGGGTGGATGGATGGAGCGAATGATGAAGATGTCGACCGCATGCTGTGGGAAGACCATGCGCTTCGAGCCGAACTCAATCGATCTTCAAATCTATATCCACCTCAATCGGCTGCTCCTTCTGATCTCGATCAAACAACTCAACAAGCAGCAAGAAATCCTCCTCAATCTATAATGGAACCCGAGGTCGATTGTATCAATGCAGTGGTTGCTGTTTTTCCAGAAATATGTAGGGATCATGTCGCGGATCTTTATAAAAGTGTATCCTCATCCTCTGATCGGTTGATCGCTCACATACTGGACGAAGCGGATACTGGAAGTTCTTACCCAAAAGCAAAAGACACACAGAAGAGTCTGAAGAGAAAAAGAGAGCGCAGTGAAGAAGAGGAGGCCAAAGAAAAGTATGAAGCTGCTGGTCGTGTGGTTGGGCCTGCTCTATTTGTGGAACGATCTTTGACGTGAGTACATTGTTAGCTTCCGCTCGGTGGTCCACCACTTGATTTTACGGTTTTTTCTCATGGTACCCCCATATAACTGACACTTTTCGTAGTCGGAGCATTCTTTCTTTCGAGTTTTCACAGACCCCAATGACTTTTATAGATGCGACACTTATATCTTCCAATCATCGTCTTTTCTCCGCCTATCGCGTCCTCGAGCAAGCACATAGAACTTTTGATGCTGCCAACCCACCCTATCAAAGAATTAAGAATCTTAGAAGGATGCCGGCCATGTACCGAGAAGATCAAGTTGAGGAAGCCATCCGATTAGATGCGACACCTGCGCGGACCGTTGTTTATGAAGAGTTACGAGCAGCTCGAGCGGTTCGAAAGAATGCAGAAAGTCGTCGCCGTGCCGAACGCGAAGCAGAACTTGCAGAGGAAGAAAATGAGAGAAAAGCTCAAGCCGAGGGCACCATGTCAGAATGCGGATGTTGCTATGGAGACTATCCACTCAATCGCATGGTACACTGCAAGAATGAAGAGGTTCTACATTGGTTCTGTCGTGGATGTGCCCGACAAACAGCAGAGAATGAGATCGGAAACTCCAAGTATGAGCTCATTTGCATGTCCACGGATGGATGCACAGCTGGATTTTCTCTTGAACAAAGGTGAGTATTCTTACTTGTTGAGTCTTCCGGATGGATACTGATTCGATGACATAGAAACCAATTCTTAGATGAGACGACGATTGTTGCCTTGGAACGTAATGAAGCAGAAGCAGTTTTACGTATGGCTGGTATTGAAAATCTCGCTAGTTGTCCATTTTGTCCTTTTGCAGCAGAATACCCTCCAGTTGAAATCAATCGAGAATTCCGATGCCTAGCTCCTGATTGCGAAAAGGTCAGCTGTCGACTTTGCAAGACGGAGTCTCATATACCCAAGAGCTGCGAAGAATATGCCAAGGAGAATGGTCTCTCAGTTCGACGTCAAATTGAGGAAGCCATGTCTGCCGCGATGATCAGAAAATGTAACAAATGTAATACTCCCTTTGTCAAGGAAGAAGGCTGCAACAAGATGACTTGCACACGCAATGGATGTTATAACGTCCAGTGCTATGTTTGTTCCAAGTCATGCAGTTACGATCATTTCAATGATGTAAGGAGAGGTGGGAAGGAAGGAAATTGTCCCCTCTTCGAGTCTGCGGAGGATCGACACAATACCGAAGTTCAGAAGGCCGAAAAGGAAGCACTTGATAAAGTTCGTGCAGAGCATCCCGAATATTCTGAGGAGGATCTGAAGGTTAAGATGTCGGAAAATGTCGCTAAGGACGACGAAAGAAGAAAGGTTAAGGATCCACGGAATGTACAAAATGTACACTATCACAGATTTCTGGGTCAGTAGATGATTTTGCGATGCTTTGTTATTATGACATTATGACTTTTAGGTGAACTTTCTTAGAGATGGTATTCCTGTTCCTTATTCAATACCAGATAAGCAAGAAGAAAATACCATCGTCAAGAGGAAGGACGTTTATGATTTTTTATGATTTTTTTTGTAATTCTATGACGCTAGCCTGTTTTGTTATTTGCTTTGGGAATACAAATTTTATGCATACTTGCTGACTAATGGGTACACAGACGAAGACGTACCAGGTCTGGCTGGTGGTGCAGCTGGTGAGTTTATTTTTGTTTACCGTTATCTTTTTTCATTCACAATAAGATTTCCCCGAGTTGAAAGGAAAGATCAGGTGAGGGAAGGGAGGGAAGGGAACGGGTAGGGAAAGATATATCTTCAAAGTTGGAGTCAAGTACCATCCATACCAACCATACAATACTCCTGTTTCAGCCCTATAAAAAAGGAAGGAAGGAAGGAACCTTTGAAGTTCGAGTACAAGCTAATCATATATTTTGGGAAACAGGTAATGCAGGTGTACTGCGCAATGTTTTTGAAGAACTTGAGAATCCGATTCCGGCGGGAAGAGAACCTGGTCGTCATGGGTTTCAGCTGGATGAATTTCATGAGGTGATTGATCACATTGCGGTGGCTGGGCCACGGAATATGGTGAATCGGGAAGAATTGGAGGAGCAACGGCAAATCGTGGCCGCAGCAGATTACAGAATGCAACTGGATTTGCTACGGCAACGGCAGGCTCGGGAAAGAGCACAGGAAAGAGCAGGGGAATTGAATCTTGTGAATCAAGAGTACCCGTATTTAATGGAGCGGCGGCAAATCGCGGAACCAAATGACAGAATGCAACTGGATTTGATACGGCAACGACAGCTTCGGGAAAGAGCACAAGATCTTGCAAATGCCAATGATGTCCCTTTGGCGAATCAAGGACAAAATAGAATGCAACTGGCTTTTTCACGGCAACAACAGCTTCGGAAAAGACCACAGGATCTTGCAAATGCCAATGATGTCGCTTTGGCGAGTCAAGGATATAACAGAATGCAACTGGATTTGCCACGGCAACAACGGCTTCGGGAAAGACCACAGGATATAGCAGGGAGATTGAATCGGGAAGCGCCGCCAAACGGTCCAAAGCCGCATGGGAATGGTGAGAGATTGGAAGAGGAGAGGGTTTTTCGTGAGGATTTCGGAGAATTGAATGATCAGGAGAGATATCCTGCCGCTGCTGTACAATCTCCGAACCGAGAGAGAGATCCTGTCGCTCCTATACCACCTCCAAATCTTGCGAGAGATCCTGTTGCTCCTGTACCACCTCCAAATCTCGCTCCTCCACCTCCAAACGTCGTGAGAGATCATTTTGATTTTCTATTTCCAAATGTTGCGAGATATCCTCTCGCTCCTGTACCACCTCCAAATTACGCTCCTCCACCTCCAAATCTCGCGAGACATCATTACGCTCCTCTACCTCCAATCCGAGAGAGAGATCCTCTCGCTCCTGTACCACCCGCAATCCTAGGGAGAGCTGAGGAAGCGCTGCCAAATGGTCCAAACTCGCATGGGGATGGTAAGAGATTGGAAGAGTTGAGGATTGGTCGTGAGGAATTGGGAGATGGAAATAGACAGAAGGGAAATCCTGTCGCTCCTGTATCACCTCCAAATCTCCCGAGGATTCCTTTTGCCTTTGTAGGAAGAGCTGAGAGGGAGGCGAGGCGGCAAATGAATCAACAAGCTTATGGTAACGCTATACCACATAGACATCGAGCAGAGCGAGGAGAAATTCAACGAGCGCGTATTCAGAGGGGCTTATGGGGGGGTTTTCAACGTCAAGCTTTTGGGGAGAGGGGTGAGAATGCGAATGGGAATGGGAATGGGTGGTTGAAGGAGCAAGCGAAGGTGAAAAAGTTGTTAGAGGGGATCCCGCAGCCGGAGGAGGATATTTTTGAGGATGAGGAGGGAAAAGGGATGATGGAGGTGGATGAGGAGGGGGAGGTGGAGGTGGAGGGGGATGGGGATGGAGATGGGGATGAATATTTTGATGATTTTCCTTTTGGATATGATATGATCTGATCTAGATATGGTTTTCTTCGAGGGACTGCGGTAGTGGTAGCGGTAATGGCGTATTGGATCCACGACACGACGTGCTTTTGAGGGATGGGGATGGGGATGTAGATGTAGATGATGTGGATGATGTGAATGTGGGGGTATGGATATATAGAGGGCGGAGTTTAAATTGAGACTGGCATTGGAATTGGGATGGGGATGGCGATAGGAGTCGGGGTATAAATGGGTTGGTATGGATTTGATATGATTTGCAATATTGCGATACGATTCATACAAAAGACTTCCTCGAGTACCTCAGGCTATTGTAGTCAGTGTTGTAGAGTAATCAGTATATAGTAGATAGTACAAGTATAGTAAAACAGTGATTGATATCAAGACTATACTATACTATACTATTCTATCCTATACTATTACTAACTTGAAGAAATACAAAATTCAATATTATTTATATTATACTCAGGCGAGTCTTTAAAAAGACTCGGAGATATAAGATTATGAAATTATGAAAAAAAAAACTATTATAATTACTATTACTAGTAGTTTAAATATTTATCGTATAGTATAATATCTTATTGATGCGCTCCGCTTAGTATTATACAGTCCCCTTGCCCTCCCCCTCCCTCTATCTAAGCCTCTACTCTATTATACTCTAAATCCCTATCTTTTATCTTCCATTTGATCTCAAATCTTCCATTCCACATCTCACATTTCATTATATCATTCCACATCTCACATTTCATTCATCATCCCCCTTCCCCTTCCTCCCCTTCATCCTCATCCCCATCTCCACCTCTATCCCCACCCCCACCCCCATGTTCAAAATATCTCGACCTCAACTCCGTTGCACCAACCCTCTCACCAACCCTCCCACTAACCCTCTTCGCATTTCTCCTTGGAGTTATCCTCACCGGCTGACTCTGACTCATCGCTACCGTTACCGGTTTACGTTTCTTCACTACTGCTTTCTTCCCTACTGCTTTTTCAGGCGGCGGTGGCGGTGCAATATCAATATCTTCATCCTCATTTTCCTCGTCATCCATTCCAACATCAACATCCAAATCCACACCCATATTCTCTTCCATATTCTCTTCCCCTTCCACACCCTCATCCACATCCTCCTCATCATCTTCATCATCATCTTCCGAATCAGGAATACATATTCGTTTTCGTTTTCGTTTGCTAGACGCTCTTGATACAGGGACGACGCGTTTAGCTGGAGTTATTGTTTTTGGCTTTGATATTGATTTTTGTTTTACTTTCGAGTTTGATGAGGCTGGTTTGGATATTGATGGAGCAGGCGTTTTATTTGATGAGCCGGCGGGTCTACCTCTACCGCGTGATGTCGAAGCTGGAGCTGGAGTTTGAGTTTTCGATTTTTCGATTTTCGATTTCGTGATGTGCATTTCTTCATCAGATTCTGAATCTTCATCTTCATCGGACGTGCCATTAATCTCGGTGTCGAATTCATCATTCCCATTCCCATTCCCAATGAATTGGAATGGTGGAGATGTACTCGTAATTGTAGTAGATGTCAGACCACGAATCCCATTAGCTTTCTCTCGATTCTCGTCCTCGTCTTCCACGATAAATCCACCACCACCACCACCATCATCTCCATCCCCATCTCCATCTTCCTGAGACGCCACCACCGGGAAAAAACTAGTTGGATGATGTCCTTCCAATTCTTCCTCAACATAACCTTCGGGGAAGAAACCCCCTGCAATATCTTCATCTTTTTGCTGCATACCCATCGCTTGTTCCTCTACATTGGAGTCCTCATCATTTTGCGTCCATTTCTTATTCTTGTTGCTGAATGGATTAACAAGATCCACTTCCCCTTCCCCATGACTTCCATATTCCTCCGTCATCCTCTCGATAATCCGAAGACTCATCAACATTTTCCTCCACATATTTATCGCCGCTTGAGTTTTCTTCACATCTTCTTTCCTTACTCTCTCCGATTCATCTTTTTCCCATTGTTCCATGACGCGCTCTAGATTTTCCTCTGCAACTACCACACCAGTAATAATCGGAATAGCCATCCTAGCACCAAATTCAAACCCCGTAACCGCCTCTGCATAATCAATCCCCAATCGTGTACATATCCTCTTAGTACCCCTCCTCGGGATATGTACCGCACCCACTGGTACCATACTTTGCACATAAACATCCATATTTCCATAGTTATTTTTCGGTATGACACCATTCACAATCGGGGGAGGAATAATCCAATCAGTTTGATCACGACTATAAAGACCCTGCAACATTTTCTGTCCGCTTTCAAGCTCAGCCTCCGCCAGCTCACGCTTGCGATTTGTTGTTGCCGCTCGATATGGTACTCGCTTTCGTGGTATTGCACCGGGAAGAGGTGCTCGACCTTCTTTATGCCATGTTTCTAAACTTTTGCAACTGACGACGTCTTTTCGGAGCCATACCTTCTCTTCGGTGGGATTATCGCCTTTAGCTTTTACATTGAACATTTTTACATGTTTTGCTGTATCAAGAATGGCCTCCTCGCGTCTGAGATGTCGTTCCAGAACATGTTCAGTAGAAGATTTATAAGATTGAAGAGTTTCCTCTCCTTCTTTTACTTCCTTTTTCTTGGGCTGAACAGCTTTGAGATCTGTGGCCTCTTCATGATCGTCAATCTCTGTTCTCGGAAATTTCTTACTGCCTCGTACATAACCACTAATGACTGTTTTGAACCAATCGTAAAACTCATAACGCTTGACTTTCCCTTTAGAATTATAGATGGGTAATTTCTCGATGGGAAAGCGGTTGCCTTTGGTTCGACCGGGTAACATATGCCCCTTTAAATATCGTATTGTAACATCCTTGGCCGTACCATCCGGTGAATGTCCCACGATATAAGCAGTAACTTGTTTGGCTTTATCAGCTTTTGCCCCACGGGATTCAAACTTCTGGAGAAGTTCAGAATTGGTTGCTATAATTTTGAGAACGAGTGGATCGATAGGGGTATAGGTATTCGTGACTGGTGATAAAACTTCCGTCCAATAATGTGGAAAGAGGAGATCTTTATCATATGGTTTCGAAGGTTGTACACGGGTTTTGGCTGGAGTAATATCAACCACAGATTCATCATCTTCTTCTTTAACATTGGCCATGGAAAGTTCTTCGGATTCTGATAGATCGATAGGAGCATCTTTTAAGCCATTTCCGCGCGAACTTCGTCTTGCCGGCTTATTGACAGGTTTCGTGGGCTTATTTGGTACTTGAGTGAATTTCCATTTCCCATTTACTTTCTTTGCAGATTTCGGGGAAGGTTTCGAGGCAGGTTTCGAGGAAGGTTTCGGGGCAGATTTCGGGGCAGGCGTCTCTTCTTCACTGCTCTCAGCATCAGAGGTATCATCTTCTGGAGTGGCTTCTCTTCTTTTCTTATCCTTTCTCTCTGCCGCATCTTCGTTCTTGTTCCATCCAAATCCTACAGGCTGAAGACTAGCAATCATTCTTGATTCAATACCAATTCCTCTCAATAAAGCTGTGAACAACTGAGCGCCAACATCTCGACTTCCTTCTAAAGCTTTGGCACATTTCTTGAATTCATCTATATTTACTATCCTTTCGCCGTGTCGTTCAAAATCGCCTTCGTCCTTCTGGAAGCTCTTGCATTCCTGGTCAAGTCTATCGAGAGACATATAGCCAACCTTTCGCAAACCCGGCGTAATGATTCTAAATCTCTGCTTCCAATAATTCATCAATAGTCTCAGGAGGCGAAACATAGGATCGCCACGACTCATATTAATCTGGCCAGCCTCCTGTCTTTCTGCAGGCTCCCCCCAATCTCGTTGACTCCTAACATCGACCTTCTTCCCTTTTGTAACCTTTCCCTTGCCTTTCCCATTCGACTTCGAAGTGTTATCCGGCTTAGTTTGTATTCCGCTATCCTTCCTCCATTTCTCAATCTCTCTCAAGACTGTTTCCGGTAATTGCCCCACTAGAATCTCCTGTAACTCCTTGTCGCAAAGCCAAGAATTCCTGATCGCATTATGCCACATTAACATTTGTACATGAATTTGATGTGTAGCCGTTCTAATACCCCTCTCGATCTTGCTAGGTCCTTTCTTCGTCCCGAGTGGATTGGTGAGCGAAATCCTCGTTTCTTTCGTCAATGTAAGTTCGAGATCACCAGTAGGTATGTTCGCAGATGATTTATTTGCCAAATTCGTTTCGACATCCTCAAATTCGATATCTTCATCCTCATCATCGGTCGCATCATCTCTCTGTTGTCTGTTCGTATTTGGGACATCTTCGAATTCATCTTCTGAAAGGGATGATAAGGAGCTGCTATCATCATCATCATCATCCGTAGCTTGAATCTTCTTTAGAATAGCCTTAGTATCTTCAGGACTTTTGGCTCCAGCATCGAGATCATCAAATAATGTAGCCTTTCTTGGAGTGGCTTTCAATAATTTGCTTTTTTTGCCTCCGAGATTCTGCTGCCTTGATGGACCTGGCTCTGACTCTGGCTCTGGGGATGAAGAACGTAGACGTTTGCGCGGAAAAAAAGGAGGCATATTGATGATCTTCACCAAGATATACTCTTGGGGAGAATTGAAGCTATTGAAATCTATAATCAACACGAACTCAACACGAAGTCAGGCGTTGTAAATGAATTTAACGCGCTAGAAATGTCTATTGCAGTTCTCTCCAATCATTCAATGAGGTCATCACTTTAATTATTTCAGGGACTGACAGGGGTAAAGATAACCAATTAAATTATCAGATTTTGGCGGCTAATTCTTTGGAGTTTAGGAGATAACAAGTAACTGGTGGTGAAACACACAACATAGAAACATAATGTTGTATTATACTCGATTATTGTATTGTATGTATCCATGCTGTATGTCTATTTGACTATGAGTATATCAACTTAATAAACAGGTATATATAGGTATCATCGTAAAGGTTCTAACATTCATATCGCCCATGTTCTTCATATATGAGTATTTCTTCCCTTCACTACCCCCTCCAATTCTACTTCTTGAGGTATCTCAATATCCAAACTCCGAAAGCAATGCCCAACCAAGAATTCCGTATCAAATGTATTCTTCTATTTATTCTTCACTATCCGTTCCATCATTATGTGCAGTAGAGGAGCTGGCAGCCTTATCCTCCGAACCTGACGACTTCGTTTCATGACCATGCATTTGTCTCCATTCCTTAATCCCTCGATTTATCTCTGCCTTGTTCACACCATCCCTCACTAGACACATCTTAACTCCCAAGGTTTCGACATTCCTATTCCTTGCCTCATCATCGAAGAATAGCATCTCTTTGTAGGATATGCCCGTATTCTTCTGTAGTTTTGTAAAATGTGTAATCTTGTTGCCGGGATAGATCTCCAATTGATCAAAGAACTCAACCGCCTTTCTTTTCTTCCCATCCACATCCATAACATGAAGCAATCTCAACATCTCTCGCCCCAACTCTGGAGCAGATGTGCGAGATGCTGCTCCAACCATTATGCCATTATTCTTGAGCTGTGCGAGAATCGAGGGTACTTCACTGTAGAAGGCGAAACTCTCCCCCCAACGATCGGTAGTTGCAGAATGTTCTGAGTTTGCTTTTATCGGAGGTGTTACATGTGTATCTATCCAGAAAGGCCACAGTGTATAATCAAGATCGAAAACGATGAGTTTCGGGAGTATGAGGGAATCTGTAAAGGTAGATGGCGGGGTATCGACCGGAGAGATTGGGGAAGCAATATTGGATTTCTTGAGTCGCTTGACCATTGTAGGGAACGAATTGATGAGTGAGAAGGAATATGAGGAAATTCGTATTATTCGGAAGGAGAATTCTTCCGGTATATGGTACAAGGTAATATAGGAATGCGGAAGTTTGTTGAAGTTGAGTTGAGTACCAATTACTGGTTACTGTATTTCCAGGCTGTCAAAGTTACATAATGAAAGTTTTAGCGAAGTCATATTCAATTCATATCACATCTGGATCTTCAAATCCATCCAAATCCATCCAAATCGATTAATATCCTATAGTAAAATCTTTGCTATAATATCCCAAACTCTATCTATATCACACGAGTTCGCAACGCAAAGAGTTGCCTTAGAAGAAGGTTACCTATACCTGACATGCTTACCTAGGCACCTACTCATAGTATTGCATCTACTCTACAGCCCTCCCTCTCTCTCTGTCTCACTCTTCCCGACCGCTATGAATTGTCTCACACTTGCCGTTGACCAAACTTCCAGATTTTTCGATACATTATCTTCAAGAGGCAAGGCCATTTGTTTGATGGTACGATGAACCACCATGTCCGATGTACATGAATCACCAGAGGTTACAAATTCGCGTCATCTGAAATACTGTGCGCGAAGCACGACACGAGGATATTCATTTACTAGCAGACGTTGAGCGATCAGTAGCTGAATGGTTCACATGTTTCAACCTTGCCGTTAGTGATTTCGTTGTGGATCCATTATTATTGTCGACCATGTTGAAGAACCACCATCTTTGGATTCATGTCAACAGTGAAGACAGACCCGTGGGATTCATTGGATGAACTAAAGTTGATGGTAATTTCCATGTGGCCGAAGTCTCGGTTGGTAGGGACTGTCAGAGGCAAGGAATTGGGAATTGGGAATGCCTTAATGTACAGAATGTTTACAGATGTAAAAGAAAAAGGATCTCGAGCAATTACTCTCACAATCAACCAAAACCTTCCGTTCAATCGTCCTTGGTATCAAAATCTGGGATATGTTGTGATGGAAGCTAAAAATATTGGCAATGAATTGGTTCTTCTGCTTGAAGAAGAATCATATCATCTTGATGATAACACTAGGTGTGTTATGAGAAGGAATATCTTATGAACTTGAGGTAGAACAAATGCTTTCTCTTTTCTTTCAAGAACACCACCCGAGATGAATGAACGAATTATAAAGGGGCGGTGTGAAAATGTCTCTCAAAAAGATGGTACATCGATGTTCCATAATTCTCGAAGCAAATCTTCATCGAACCCAAACAAACAATTCCTGGGGAAAACGCGGCACTTGAATTGTCTCTCAGGGATCAGCTGAAGTGATCACGAGAGTACCATGCTATTAGAGGTCGTAGAACCCGAAATCTTAAACTTTCCGAAGTCAGGGGAAAGTTACAGATTCCACGCGGATGTCCGCGTCAAGGAACAATCACCAGTGTAAGATCAGGAATAGAAAGAGTGGCGCAAATATTTTCCAATCAGCAGCTTTCCGTCGAGCTGGTCAAATGGTCACACTAAGACAAGTTGCACGATTTATCAGATTTTTCAATATAATTGATAATAGGATATACCTTTGAGATAACAATTGTGTTACCTCTTACTTATAGGTAAAAATTGGTTTGATATGCTCTTATCGATGGATCAAGCTGATCTGATTTGATCTCCTCACTTAAAGACTATTCAGAAGAAACTATGCATTCATGCAAGTCAATCTTCACCCAGTATTCCCCCACCATTGTACTCAATTTAGAAATCGGGCTGGGGTGTTAGATTTGTCTCTTAGTATCTGCAAAATCTTCCGTATAGGTATTCTATTCTTTATCCACCAAAGCCAACCTGGCAGGGTCGACATGTTTTGCGGTAAGCTGCATGATCTTGGTGGGTCTTATCCGTTTAATATGGCTAAGTCTACCGAGGCTGATAGGACGGACAAGAAGTGGCACTTTCCTCAGTATGTACTACTAATTCTGTTAACTCATGTTGTTTGATAGTATCCTGAATAAGATACTGGAGATGAGGATAAGGTTCTTGGAAACATACAAAGTAAAAGCTAGGTACCTTCATCTTTATCGTTTTTACATTGCCATTGTATTCGACACTTTGCCATTTCTCCTCGTTCATGTTGCTTGATACTTGCTTGATACTGGCTTGATATTAGATACTTGTTGTTTCTTCCTATCTTGGTCTCTTTACCCTTAATATACCTGCCTTAAATTCATCTGAAAATTCATGGTCGATGACATCCGGTAACTAAGGTTCCTCTAAATCCGATATATCATTTCACTACGGCTAGTCGGTTAATCGAAGATGACTCCAACCATGATCGATCCAAAGGAGCCTACTCTCTGTGATTTCTCCCCAAACTCATCAACTTATAAGTCAGAGAAAGCAACAATGACCGATAGGAAGAATCATTCGCACCTAGCGGAGGTCAACGAAACAGGACATGTACAAGAAGTCGAACGGAATTTCTCTCTACTTTCTATATGCTCAGTTGGTCTTGTTACTGGAAATACTTGGGCTGCTTTAGGTGGTAGTATTGCTATAGCGATTTAGTGAGTTACCTTTCCCATCAAACCAAAGACAAGACTAATATATTCAATAGTAATGGGGGTCCACCAGGAGTCTTATATGAATTCATTGCTGTTTCAATGTTCTATTGGCTTGTCGCAGCTTCTTTGGCCGAGTTAGCTTCATCAATGCCTAGTAGTGCTGGAGTTTATCACTGGGCATCCATTACTCCTGGTCCTAAATATGGTAGAATTTGTGGTTGGTTCGCTGGTTGGTGGAATACATTTGCTTGGATTTGTGGTGCAGGTAATCTTACATCTATCCTATGGACTTCTTGAGTTTATCTGAATTTCAATAGCAACCATGTCATCTATTGCCTCAAATGTTGCCGTCGCAATGTATGGTCTCTACCATCCTGATTATATAGTGGCCAGATGGCACATTTTCATCGGTTATATTATTGTAACCTGGATCGCTTGCTCTATAGTCTTATTTGCAAATCGAGCTCTTCCAATGATTAATAACATTGGACTTGCGTTCATCCTGGGTGGTGTCTTGTGAGTATTCATCTCTTAAGCTCTTTGTAACATCTGGCTAATTATGCATTTTAGTATCACGATTGTGGTTTGTGTAGTTATGCCATCTGGAACAGGACATGCTACCCATTCTTTCGTCTGGGCCGATTGGGCTAATGATACAGGCTACTCCAGTAATGGGTTCGTTTTTCTCGCAGGCATGTTGAATGGTGCTTATGCTGTCGGTACACCTGATTGTGTCTCTCATTTGGCGGAAGAAATCCCAAATCCTAAGCGCAACATCCCTCTTGCAATTGGTGCTCAAATGAGTATTGGTTTTATAACCGCATTTGCATATACAATAGCTATCTGTAAGTATCTGTTCTTTTTGCATCTTATTTCTCTCTTCGCCACAACCTTGTACTTTTCTAGCTTGCTTACAAAATACTAATACACCCCTAGTCTACTCAATTACCGATCTCGATACTGTATTAGCCGCACCTTTCTTCCCACTCACTCAAATATATCTACAAGCCACAGGCTCCACTGCTGGAACAACTGGTCTTCTCTTTGCTATTTTCTTTCCGATTTTTTGTACCCTCATCGGAACATACATCACAGCAGGAAGATGTCTCTGGACACTCGCTCGAGACGACGCAGTTCCATTCTCCAATTGGCTACACATAATCCACCCACGCCATAAAAATCCCTTCAATGCAACCATCGCATGTGGTCTCTGCAGTACCATCCTAGGAGCTATATATGTCGGCTCATCAACAGCATTCAATGCCTTTGTCGGATCCTTCGTCGTTCTCCTCACCCTTTCATATCTAGCCTCCATCCTTCCCTTCATCCTCACCGGTCGCTTTACTCGCTCTTCTAAAGCACCAGGTCCCTACAATAATAAAATGGTTCCCGGCTGGTTCGTAATGGGCAATATTGTGGGTTACACAATCAACATTATCAGCTGTGCTTACATCATCGTCTTCGTGGTAATATATTGTTTCCCCTACGCAACACCGTTCGATGCAGCAAGCATGAATTATTCAAGCCTAATCGCAGGCGCATTGTCGATAGCAGCAGCTTTGTGGTGGGTGGTTAAAGGGAATACTTATGTAGGTCCTCAAGCTAGTATTCATGGTAACCAGGAGTCGGATATTAGTACTGTAGCGGTTTGGATATCGTGAGCATGAGTATGAGTATGAGTATGAGTATTGTTTTGGAGGGGGATATATATGGATGGGGTGAGAAATAAGCTAAGGACTGGGACGGGGACGGGGACGGGGACGGGGACGGGGAAGAAATAATATATTTTCGTCATGATGAAGAGAAGAGAAGAGAAGAGAAGAGGTGTTGGATGTTATATCTTTCGGGAATTTACGAATTTACTTGGGGGTCACCCACGATTAATTTGGTGAGCATTGCACATTGCATAGTAGTTAGTAATGGATTGATCGGTAAAGAAGTCTTGTCTTGTCTTGTCTTGTCTTATTTTGTTTTATAGTACATTTCTTTGGGGGGGAAGTTGGTAATTGGGGGGATTTGATTGTACAATAAATATCTACTCGAGTAATTGAACATGAAGCAAAACAGAACATCGCATGACGTTGTATGCCATGTAACCGCTGGTACTTTTCACATGCATTGCCAATTGAAACCCAAAGCCAGTACGAGAGATATAGGCTAGCGATGAGGTAACTCCAAAACTGTAAAATTCTTCCGAAATGCCCTATTGAGCGACCAATGTTTCCATAGTTACTCTGAGGTTCAATGCAGTGATACTATGTCAGAATGCAGAAGGATCTCATACCGCTCCAACTGTAGAACAATCAATGATGCCCAGAATTATTACAAGCATTGATTACAAGGCTGCTGCTACTACCACTATTACCGCTGATACGAAGCCCCGAAACTTTAATCGAATTCATCTCAATCCTCTTTCTCTTCTGCTTTCATTATAAATAACCAGCTGTGCACGAAACCTCGCCTACCGGGAGATGCAGCTATCGAATTCATGAAGACTAGTGGAATGGTACCGGATGGTATTGTTTATGACAAGGGAATGGATGCTTTTGTGTCTACTTCCGTCGCATCAGAGGAGGAAGAGAAAATGTAGGTTCTGACCCATATCATATATTATGAATTTTTTTTTTTCTGATTGGGGCCTTCAGCAAGCGTTTTTGGTCAGATACAACGGAAGATAGCAGGAAGCTATGCAAGGCAATAACTAAACTGCACGAAAAGCTTGCTGAAAAAGATCCCAAAAGTGGGAAATTAGATTTTCGACAAGGGACCTGGGAGCAGGTTATGAAAGAATTCAACAAGACACTCGAATTCTACAAAGCGCAAAGGAAGAGTGGAAAGAAACTTGGGAAGGTGTTCGACTCATTTCAGAAATTAGGTGAGAATGCTGAAATATTTGAGCAATGGTTGCAACTCCTGTCAAATGGTGATTACGGTTCTGGAGTATGTGGTGAGTAGGATTTGTTCTATTTGAGTTCCCCAGTAGTAATAGCTTTCTAATATTTTCACAGGTGCTTTCAAAATCATACTAGGCGTAAGTCCGAGCCCGCCCCCACAGCAAAGACGAAGTTTGAAGAGATACTGAGCGTGACAACTTGGATATCGGCAGGCGGCAACGATATTGCGAAACATTGATCAGACCATATATGAAATGTTGCAAAAAATTCCCGAAGAAATTGGTCATGCTCAGCGATATTTGAAAATCTATAGTGATGTGAATGGAGTCAAGCTGGTTCAAAAGACTGCCTTACTATTCAGTGCCGTCCTTAACGCGCTCGAGGAAATTATTATCCTGCTTACAAAAGGTCGTGGGAGTAAGTGAATTCCACTATCCACATCATAATGCGGTTCTGGATGATGATCTGATTGTCTGAAATTTCCAGAAAAATTCTTCAAAGCAATAATATTCGGAGAGAAGTACGGAAGCAAGATTATGGAATGCCTCAAGCGAGTTCAAACTCTATCAAAGGAACTAGACAAGGAAGCCACAACATGCGATAGGGTCAGACTTCAACAGATGGACGGAGATATACATGCGATTAAATCACTACTTTCTGGAGATCTAAAAGAAGGCTTCCACAAGTTTAAACAGCGACTGAGTGGCAACATGCACCAATTCTTTATTTCGAATCCAAGCCTAGATCCACATACAAGGAGACCCCAACTTGATTGTTTAAGTAAGTTTGGCATGACTATTAACATCAATTATTTTGAGAAAGAGAATACTGCGAGTATCTTCATCAGCTTCAAGTCAACCACCTCATCATAAGTCACGCCCAAAACGGGTGAAAAGCGGGATTACTGGGAGTCTCCCTTCAATCTCAGAACTAATTGAGATGATGGGGTATGATAATTCTCAGCCTTTCGGCGATATCAAAACATGCCAATTAGAACGTGAAAACTTGTCACTTGATGATAAAGATCGAGTATCTCATATCGCTAAGTCTGAGAAATTCACATCTTGGCTATTCAATACCGATAAATCGGGATCCCTTTTAATCCTGGGTAACATGTCCGAAAATCAAGCTTTCATCAGTCCACTGTCCTATTTTTCCGCTGAGCTATCTCAGATATACGCTCAATCAGATTCCACAGCAACTTTGAGCTTCTTCTGTGGCCTTCACTCGGATTCTTTTAATCCTCGAGATAATGCTAGAGGAATGATCAATAGCCTTTTGGGGCAGCTACTAAGCCACGATAGGCTCGGAAAATGCTTTGATCTCCAATTCATGAATGAGCGTCTACTAACCCAATTCAAAGACGACAGTGTTGAGGCGCTATGTTGTATCTTCGCAAACCTTGTTAAGCAGATTAAAGAAAGTGTGGTGTTGTTCTGCTTCATAGACACTATTAACCTCTATGGAACTCGAGCAAGAGTTATAGAAAATGCGACTGTCATGAGAATGATAACGAAGTTGGTCAGAGACCTGAATAAACCGTCGAAGAAGTCCAACACAAATGGGAATCAAAAAATGAGAGTGATAGTGAAGGTATTGGTAACGGATCCTGGGAACAATTGTGGCGTAGAAGAGTTTTTCGAGGACGAAGAGCAATATTTGGTCGAGGAATATATTGATGGGAACAGCCAAGGAGTGGTGGTTATGGATGGACTTGGACCATAACCATTGATTACGCAGTATGCTCTTGTCATCGGTGGAAGCTTTTCCAATTAGCGATGGACTTTATCAAACCAGTAAACCATTTGCGTACACAGGGTCTTCATGACATATGCACGTGAATGATAGTGATAATGTTGGTCGAGCATTGAAATATGTCCGCCGTGCCGCCGGTATCATTGCTGCTCACGTCTTTACCTCAGGCTGAGTGACACGATTTAAATAGCCTATGAATGGATAGATTGTTTAGCACGAATCTCAAATGGGAACAGAGTAAACACTTATGAAGGTACGGTCCAAAGGATGTGGTGGCACCTCGTGTGACTTGAACCTCGTAATATGCAGTGCTAGGTCATATGTCTCAAAACGCTCACCGAGAAGACCACCGCGACAGAATTTGACCACATAGCCTTCTCTTTTAGAAAGGAACTTATCCGATTGACCCCAAATTGCTTTTCGATTGAGGTAAATGATTGAGCAGTGAGTGAGAGGAATTTTGCACCGAGTAGGACCAAAATAACGGGCAGAAGATATTGGGTAGTACGCTATTAAAAAGAGGATCAAGGTAAGGTTATGCATGATGCTTCGATATCTGACCTCTGGTATGCACATTTCGAGTCGTAGAACACAGCACTTTCTAAGATGCTAAGCTGCACATTTCGGGTCGTAGAACGCAACACTTTGTAAGATGCTAAGCCTCGTATGCGATGTTTGCGGTATTGGCAACCTAAGTGACCAACGATCAGCAACGTGTCAAACTCCAGAAACTCACATGGATCCCGCAGCCGTGGAAGAATCTATGAGGCTCTGGTGATCTGCAACTTCGGATATCCGAATTGAGTTCGAGAACGCCGATCTGTTGGAAAGCTTAAGCACTTTAGCAGGGCGCGTTCAGTAAACACAAAGCCTTCAGGCACAGGACATTGCGAAGCTTTCCATATTTCCTGACTAGATAAGTATGGAGAACTGAGAGTGCTGCACACATTCGCTCTGGGGAAACGACAAAATATGATGATATTTGAAGTGGTGTGTAAGAAATGTAAAGAGGTTGCATCAAGGTTGCAGATGGTGGGGTGAGTGCTTATATAATTATCGCTTCGACAGAAAGAGCACTCACCGCCTTCGAAGCATGGCACAACACCAAGACCCCTCTTCATTGTAATGTCACACTTTAATTCTCCTTATATCAATACGTTAGATATTGAAGCCACGAAATCTTATCAATGCAGAGCTAGAAAATCACTGGCAAAGTATCTCTATCCTCAATCCCTCTGTATTATTCTGCAACTTAAAGAAGCAAATTCAGTAAGTAGCACTTCATACCATCAAACAAAAACGAAATACATCAGCACCTCCCAGTCGAGGCTCAAATGTCAAATATCAAATAAAATACAAACGACAAGAACACTCTTTCTTAGTATTTCATTGTCTGCTATATACTATACTACTCTATACAATCCCATTTATACACAAATTCCAATTCCTCCCTACGAAATAGCAATTCAATCATTCAAACCATTTATCCATAAAATTTCCTCGACGACCAGTATCAGTAACATTATCAACCTGGTTCTCATCCTTTCGACGCACAGGCGCAAGCGTAGCGAAAATGGGAGCACTGACAAGTTGTGGTTGCACGGTCGATCTTGGAGTATTCGATGCGTTGCTATGACCTCCTAAAATGCCTCCGTATGGCGATACATAACGTTGTGGCTGTACGGGTTGTCGTGGGAGGCTCTGCGTGGTACTGTAGCCACTTGAGTGAAAATCGTATGGAGATATATAGTATGGATCTTGTTGTCCGGTATGTCTCGGGATATTGAATAGGTTACCGTGACCGTGACTTCCAGTGATGAGATATGGATTGTTTAGAGCATGCTCATCGTATGTGCCATATCCATATTGTCCTTGGATCTCATTAGCTGCTGCTGTTGTCTCCGGTCCAACACTCATATCATTGCGAGTTGATTGAGTAGTGTTAGTCTGAGTCTGTCTTGGGACACTGTAAGAACCACCAAGTTCGGCCCCATTACCACTGTATCGTTCTAGGCCAGCGTGTCTCACGGAACGATTAATAGTGCTCGTATCTTTACCTTTTGGTATCATCACCATCAGGGATTGTGAGACAGATGGCTCATTCCATTTGTCCATGAAAGATTTGCGGCGTTTTGTATGAATGGAGTCGACGTGGTTGACGGGATTGACGTTTCCTCGGTGCGTAGGTGTAGTGAATGAAGGACCACCGGCGGACTGTCCAGACTGTCTTGGAACACTTGGTATGCCACTCTGAGCCTTTCTTTGACCACGATGTCTTCCAAATTCATTAGTTGTACCAGCCTGTTGTGCTCTCATCATTGTCGTAGGTAAATTTTCGAACTCCTTCACATCACTATCATCGTCGTCAATAACGATAGGTCTGTCAGCACCACCCTCAACCCCGATCTTCCCATCCACCTCAACCCCCATCTCATCATCAACAGCATCCAACATCTCCAATTCCCTAGCCCATTTCTTCTCAAGCCCCCCACACAAAGCCTTAAAATTCCCATCATTTTCAAGCTTCCCAGTGCAATCGTGACATTGAATATAAAACGCACTGGAAGTTTTAGCAAACCCAAGAATCTCAAGCTCAACCAAAGTATCACCAATCGGCTTGAACCCCTTCCAATCAATACAATCCTCACACTGTGCCTTTGCACACCATCGACATTTATAAAGCATTCCACCGACATCGGGTGCCTTTTGCTTGCAATCCACACAATTGTGTTGGGGACATGCGAACTGAGTCTTATTTGCCTTAGCTTGGTAGATTGGAGTAAGGCAATCCTTGTGATAAGCTCTTGGACAGAATTTGCATGATATGAGTGGTGATTTGTGGTTGATCTTGCAGATTTGACAATAGGTTTGCGAAGTGATGTCGGGTTTCTTCTCGCGCTTTGGAGCGGAGGGTCTAGTGGATGAAAATGTCTTGACGGCTTCCCATTGATCGTTATTAATAGTGTCCTTAGAAACCATATACCCACCCATCATAACCGTTCTCTCTTTTCCGATTTTCCGATCAGCCTTACTGCTTGATGGGGCAAAATCCTCAGCAGAATCCCTAGACTTGGGTCTACCATCTTCGATAGCTCTACCATTAAAGATTTTAGATTTGACACACTCACGTTCTGCGAGCCATGCTCTCTCAGCTTCTTCTTCATCGATATCTGTTTCTTCGATGTCATCTTTTTTGATGAGGTCTGCGGCTTGATCTTTGCACATCGTGACTGTTGTTTTCCAATCCCACTCTAACATCTTACTTACATCGATTTCTGGGCGAGAAATAGCTGATGTTCCACGTCGAATGAGAGTCATAAGTTGTCCAGTATTCATTTCCGGCATATCATTATCGTCGCCGTTGGAAACCTCCTTCCCCTTTCCTTGGCTGGTAGTACTAGGCTTTGTATAAATATCCTCCATAGATTCCGTGACTTTGGCAGATAAGTAAAGCTTCTTGGCAATTCGAGGCATCATTTGTTCTTCTACCGTGCCCTGCGCGACAAAGTGATAGACTGTGAGAGGTTTTTGGAGACCAATACGATAAGCTCGACCGATTGCTTGCTTTGTGACCTGAGGATTCCAGTCTTGATCGAGAAGGATAATTTCAGATGCCACGGCAAGGTTGAGTCCAAGTCCACCAGCTCTGGTAGAAATGAGGAAGACGTTATGATTGCCTGTGAGATCCATGAACATTCTAATTGCCAAGTTACGTCGTGCTCGGCCAGTACTTCCATCGATTCGACAGGTGTTGAAGACTGAACCATCTCCTCCTTTGAGAGCTAGAAGCTCTTGGACGAGATCTAGCATCTGTGTGAAGCCGGAAAAGATAATGATCTTCTTCTTCTGCTCAATGACTAACTCGGTAATTAGCTTATCCAGAACGATGAACTTGCCAGAAGCTTCAATTAGATGTTGGCCAGGAAAGTATGGATTGGGCTCCACATCTTCGAAATGATATGGATGATTGCAGACTTTTCGAAGCTGCATGACTAAATTCATCAAGCTTTGCCAAGTAGTCCGCTTGGAGCTGCTATTACTAGCAGAGGTTGGTTCTAGAGCAAGATTTGCCGTTGAAGTTTGCTCCTGGGTGCTATTATTATTGAATAGCTCGTGTAAAATCGCCGTATCCGTCTTCTTAATCAATCGCTCATACCAGAGCTTCTGGAGGGGGCTGAGAGGGACGAAAAGAAGGACCTCCTCCATAGGAGGTAGGCCTAAATCGACCCCAGGAGAGGTCTTGGTTCGTCTGAGCATGATTAGTTCGAGGAGATGGCGAGATGCGACCAAAACATCCTTTATATAATCTCCTCTTGAGAGATTAAATCCCTCCGCGAAGAGATTTCTCGTCTTCTCGACGAATACCTCTGGGTAAAGGAAGTGAAAGAGAGCCCAGAGCTCCCCAAGATCGTTTTGGAGGGGGGTACCGCTAAGAAGCAGGCGGTACTCTGCTTTTAGGCCTTGTAAAGACCTAGAAACCTCGCTTGCGTGGTTCTTTATCTAGAAGCTGTTAGCGGTGGCGTTTAAATGTTGAAAAAGGTTGGAACAATGAAAAGATGTGATAGAAGGTTGAAAAAAAGTTAAGAGAGGTGGACTAGATGAGGTGTCTGATTGATCAAAAGTATGTGGAACAATGAAATATACGATTAGGCGCGTTGACTAGATGGGATGCTTGAATATTGACGAAAGATTGGAACAATGAAATGTACTATTAGGCTTGGCGACCGACAAGTGGTTTAATTGTCCAAATCTATGATAACACAATCAAATGCTGGATTGTACAGATCGGCAAACTGTAGGTCGGATGTACTCGGTTGGATAATTAATTGTTCAAGGATATTTGAAGCATTGAAAAGTAAGATTAGGCATATAGACTAGATGGGGCCAATTGAATGTTGAAGAAAAATTGGAACAACGAAAAGTCAAATTAGATGACCGGAAGCTAGACTAGAAGTAATAATGCATTTTATATAAAAGAATAAGATAACGAAAATTCAGATTAGTTAATAGTACTAGATGAGACACTTTATTTTTCCTGGAACTTTGAGATACTTAAGACTAGACTTGATTTAAACTGATGGACTAGACTCGGACAGGTCATATGAATTTTTTGAAAGCTGTGCAACGATCAAATGTCGGATTAAATTGACTTGAATTGGCAGGAAATACTTGTGGAAGGTCTACCAGAATAGAAGTTTGATTGTTTAGCAAATAGTATAATAATGAAAAGTAGTATTAGGCTGGGATAAAAGGTCTACCAGTATGTGAAATGTAAAATAAATTACTAGATGAACTAGATGAAACCTTTCATGGCTCCTAGAACATCAAATATATTCAAAATTTGGGTAGGCCAGAGTAAATTTTACTACGTAATGCACAATAGATGGGAGGTTTGTGGCTCAAAAACTATACAACCGTGACACTGGAACGTCGACTTGGCTTGCTAAGAAATGCCTAGAGAAGATGAGTTTAGGAAAAGATTTGATTGCCTTAGGAATACTGCAACATGGAAAAGCTGGTTTAGCTATCAAGAGAATCTAAGTAATTTAAGGTGATAAACCCTATATCAATTATACATCGAGTATTTAAGATTTCCAAGATTCAGAATTTTACAAGAATGAAATGAACAAGGACAACTTTAGATGATCCGAAAAACTTAGCGATGGGATCGTGACTTAAAATATTGATGTAGCAAACTCTTGAAGGGGGTGTGGAATGTAATAAAAATAGCAAAATGAGAACTTCATTACCCAAGGAATTCCCACTGGCTGAAAATAAATACGCTAGAAATGAAATTCTCAACTTAGACCAGATCAGATGAAGATGACGGCGAAAATATTATTAGTATTCCAACGCTCGGTGAAATGAACGGCATCAACTTAGCCACTTTGCTAAACAGAAACAGAAACAGACATGTCTTAAATGATCGAGATTGATTCAATCATTTGCGAAACAAACTTCCGAAAAAATGAAAAATGAAGATAGAGTAAGAAATATAAAGACCTAATTATTTGGAAAGAGTTGAAACTGTCAAGGAATAATCTTTACTTACAATTTGACCCTCGTCCAGCACAACATATCGCCAGACGAACACCCCCTTGAGCCAAGATTGCTCGCTTTTGTAGGATCTAAAATGGTTGGTTAGCATTAAATTAGTGGAAAGTAAAGTAAAGTTTGAGACGTCTATTTGAATTGACCGGAAGAGAAGAAGAGATGGATTCTCATGTGGATTTTAGATAATTAGATCATGTAGTTTGATACAACTGGTTGATAAGGCAAGGAAATGTGAACAGAAAAGCTATTATCTAGACTACCTAATATTGAATATGGGATAGAAGTGTTTAGATATTCAACTAAATTTATAACATATGTATTCTCTTAACTGATAAAGCAGGTTTGAAATAGGAGATTATCTAGAGTTATGACCGAAATTCGGAAGATATGATTCATTGCTATGAATTCAGAACATAGGATAATGAAAATCTCGAACTAACGGTACGCCAAACTCGTCCTAAAAAGGCAGATAAGAAAGCGTAATTTTCGGACAAGGACTTCAAGGTTCATATACTTTAACCTTGACGATTAAGACGATCCAAGATATTATTCTAGGCAAGATAGGACTTTGGTCATACCTCATGCAATACTTTCGCGTCAAAGTGCAGAGAGTCCCAAACGCAATGAATTACTGAAGAGTACTACTCCGTTTGATAGACATAACGACATTCTATGTGATGAATAATTCTCAAGAATGCAATGAAGAAACAAAGTAAAATAAAACTCACTCATAAGTTGTAACAACCAAGTCTACCCCCATATCATCATCTTCATTATTATCGTCATCACTATCCAGAGAAACAACCTCTCTTCCCAAAGGATCCCGATTAGCCTTATACTTCCTCTTCCTGGTAGCTTGAGGGCTCAAATTTCCCAGCTTATCAATCCCCCCAGCGATGATATGCTTCAATCTACCACGCTCCTCACGTCCTCCATGAAATCTAACCACTCTTAGGTCCGTCCATTTCTCCGTCTCCGTCATCCAACTTCCTAAGACCGAGAGGGGACAAATGATGAGGAATGGGCGTTGTAGTTTGCCTTTTCCAGTGGTAGGATGGTTCTCCTTGAGGTATTGGATTAAGGAAAGAGTTTGTAGGGTCTTTCCGAGCCCCATGTCATCACCCAGGATGCCATTGACTCCATTTCTGTATAGATAGACCATATAACTTAAGCCGGAGAGTTGATATGGTTTGAGAGTAGCCTTAATACCTTTGGGTTGAGTCTCTAGCTGTTGATAAGGTACAAAAGCTGGTAGTTTTACCTTCTCTTCTTCGGAAAGGTCGATATTCTGTGTGATTAGCTTCTGAATATAGTTATTTTGTGGTAGCAATGGTAAAAAATAGTCCTGCTTCTCCACCAAGAAAGTATTTCTTTGAGCTAATGTTGCACTAGTTATTTCTTCTCTAATCTTAGCCTTTGTATCGAAGATTTTTCCAGAATTAGGCTTCATAGGGGAAATCCGAGCACGTTTATCGGTGGTTCCGGTGTTTTCTTTGGCATGGCTCCGACGGTCTCTCATTTGACGTTTGAGAGGAGGACTATTGTGTAGTATAGTATCCTTGTCTTCTTGTGGCTCCTCTTCATCTTCCTGTGTAGTTTGTATGATATCTGGGTGGTCAATTGGTTGCTGATGACTCTGGGAGGGGGTGGTATGTTTAGATGGTATTGCTGGATCGGGTACGACACCAAATTCTTCGATATTCTCGGCAGTGAGCTTGTTTTGGAGACCTGATAGTAATGGTTGATGTCAGTAATTGCTCTATGAGTTTGTAATAGCAAATCAAGCAAAGCTACACGCATCAAGGAAAGTGCATAGTGTTAAAGCTCTCAGCTTAAGAGCATGTAGTGGAAGAGAAGTATGATAGTGATGGTGTTCCAAGAAGGGTCTAAATAGGTGTCGGAAACCTTGGAAAGTGGAGAAAATGAGAGGCAAGTGGGGGTGTAATACTAAGAACCGAAGGAGGGGTAGTAAAGGGGAACTGTGGGGAAGGAAACAAGAGGAGGAAAGAGTGGAAAAGGCAAGGAAAGGAGTTTGTGAGGAGGAATTGACTTCAAACATGCATGTTTGATATACAAAGAATTTGGGGTATTCCAAAAGAACGAGAATATACTTACTCGAAGCAACAATACCATCCTGCGATGGCGTTTGAAGGCGGTCCATGATGGAAGACCGAAAACCGCGCGTTCTAATTGACAGCAAAGACTTGATGGAAGACAAAAGTATTGATTGACAGCGTGATTTACTGCCAAAAGCTTCGTAAACAAGCAAAATTGGAGGATGGTGCAGTAAGAGTCGCAAGATAGAATGATAATAAGAGTAATTCACAAGACGGATAGCAGTTAGCAGGTATTGGCAGCTCTTGACAATGGAAGTTAGTGATTGACAGTATTTTAGTAGTAACCTGATGGAGTCAATTTGCTTTTGTTTGTCAACAAGGAGGACATTTGCAACATCAACATCTCATCCCCACCATGTTCACCCGGGAACCTTTCAAGGAATCTATTATGAAAATAATATTAAATTAAATTCTACTTGACTTTGCTACAAGGACAAATCAATTAAATACAAATATCTACACTTGTTAATAACTGAAATAAAAGATGTAACATTATATATCAATACTAGTAGATTGAAGATATACTTGGTTGACATCTTGAGATCATATTCAAAGCAAACGAAAAAGTTAAAGGGGTTTCTTATCTTATCAATCGGATCAAAGTTAATGCTGAGCGGCCGCCGGAAATGAAACCATCATAATGAAATCCGAATTTCTACTTCATCCGATTCGAGATCATCCTAAAGTGAACCCAGCTTAACCCAGCTTAACCCTACAACTATCATGGCAACTGTGATAACCTCTTGATTCCTTTCATGATTAATTGTTTATTCTATATACAATCACCATCATGTCACCATTTTATCCTGTCACCATCTGCAGGTCTGATGGACAACTAGAGGTCATTACAAAGACAGGATTCAAAGAATTCAATCAACCAACTTCAGCTCAATTGAACACAAAAGAGGATTCAGAAGGGAATGTCGATTGTTATAAGAAGCTAGAATATGATGAACCGAAAGCTGTGGATTGGAGAAGAAAGATTGGTGGCATGTTGATGCATTATTTGGGTGGAAAGGAGCATTCTGGTAATTGATTTACCTTTCCGATGCCCTTCTATCAATCTATCCATACTAACTTCACCGCAGACAGGAATTACGTACTTAAAGATTTACCTGAAGGATATATTTTATGGGAACACGTCAAATACAATAAGAATAAATTGGAGGCGGAACAAAAGAAGGAAAAAGGAAAACACGCAGCTGGAGCTTACGAACGACAAGATACTTATTTATATGGACACCCTCAAGGTCGAAAGAAGAGATATCGAAGTCCCGCAGATTTCTTTCCCCATGTACTTTGGTTGAGTACAGACAAAGATGGCGATCCAAGAAATTGTTCCTGCAAAGTTTGTTCACCATTTGGGGAGGATGATCCACAAGAAGAGACAACCAAACAAGACAGCGGCGCAATATTTTCAAAGAAGGAAATGAGGAAGGAAAGCACGCCAGTTGTCCTGATACCCCAGCTGGGGAGGGAGATAAGGAAGGAAAGCATGCCAGTTGTCAACATGCCTCAAAAGACCATGACAGCTTCTGCTCCCGGTCCTTCAGCTTCTGTAGCTATGAAGCCACCTTCTCAGGTCATTTCATTAATTCGATCATCGGAACAAAGACTCGATAGTGATCCAAACAGTGGATTTATTTATCGCACTGGAGAATTAGTTTGGTTCAACAGAGGTCATGCTTGGGGTCTTGCAGTCATATCTAAAAGAAGAGTTGAGAATTTTACAGCTCAATATTTGGTTCAACCACTTTCTCACCCAATCACACATCCTGCAGCTCAAATCAACGATCAAGAATCCATTAGACCATGGCTGGCTTGGAGTGTACCGCAAACTACGATCAGTTCACTCAATAGTCTTCCTTATGACGATGTTCCTTGGGATCGAATTATTCGAGGAGAGTACGGTGGAGGAGATTACCAAGTTGATGGTAGTATCTTGGCCGCAAAAGTTATTGATGGAAGCTATTCTCTCTTTGACAGGATCGAAAAAGCTCTGGTCTCTCTGGGTGAAGTACACTACAATGGAATGTTCCTTGGTGCCGAAAAGATCTGGGTTGGTGAGCCAGTCCGTTTACGCGTTGAAGGCGATGCAATTGTGGTTATCGTCATTCAAAAACTCATTGAACGTACCATACAATCAAGCCCACTGTCGACTGTAGTAACCTTCGTAGGTGATATCTACAAGTTTATTGAAATGCCAATGCCATATAGCAGTCGATCTCAATGGCCAACACCTGACTTACCAGCTCGAATGGTTGATGATTTACGATTCCGTAACGAGGTCGCAGATAATGCCAAGAAGCGAACTTGGTATGAATGGAAATTACTAGAACCAGCAGCTCGCCGTGGATTGGCTGATATTAAGGGTCGTTGGTACGAAACTCGACTCTTACTTCCGGTGTTGAGGGGTTTGGAAGCATATCAAATTGGTATAGGACGAGGTGAAACTAGCGATGCTAGTTTGTGGATGAATGGTAGAGGAGATACCATCGGAGGAACGGGAAAGAGACAAAAGAATAGAAGAATGACGTTGGGGAAATCTGTCCCAGATGATTTCAAGGTGGGGAGAGGACTGGATGGGACGCTGGCTGATAATATGTTTCCCGAAGCAACTACTCCACATGAAAGTGTGGTGATACCGGATATTGATCAATACATGGATCTTGATGCAGTGGGGGCTTCGAGTGAGTACAATGGTTGAGTTGAGTTGAGATAGGATACCGGTAGGAGATTTAGATCTGCTTTTTAGTATGTTTTACGGAGGAGGAGTACAATAGGCGTTCTTATGAAAGGAAGATATGTGGAAATCTTTTACAACACATCAATTAGAGAATAGGTAGGATTAGGATACCCCGAACGAGTCATGGATCGGGCGTAAATGGCTTACTGGTTGCTTGATATGTATGTAGCTAATAATGAATGGAATCTTGTTAGAATTTTCGAGGGATGTTATTCTTTATTTGTAGTGTAATGCAATAAATATAATGCAATGAGATATACGAGTATAAGAGTTTGAAATAATACTGTGATGTGATATGATATGATATGGATGGATAATTGAGTAATCTTCGCGATAAAGGGAAGGAGGGAAGGAGAGAGGGAAACTCAATCGATACTACTCGAGTATAGATTATAATTAGATTGATTTGTGAATTGTATCAGTATAAGTAGTAGTTAACTCGTTCAACTAACTTGAATTATATTTCAATCGGATTAAATTAATTAATTTATTTAATGAAATCTAAATTAGTAGTTAATTTGATTTTAAGTTATTAAACTTAGATTAATAATCAAATAATAATCGAGTAGAATTAAAAAGAAAAAATAGAGTCGGATTAATCTCTATTTTAGATATCTTTTTAGAAAAAATAAAGATTATTATATAGGTTTTTTTATATTAAGAAATTACTAGATTGATTATTCTATTTAATTTTAATATACTTTGATTTTCATTTAATTGATTTAGTTTATATTAATTTAAACTATTAATTAGAATATAATTCTCAAAGATTACTAGTTTAAAAACGATTTTGAATTAATATTTATAACTAGATTATACTAAGATACTATTAAATTTAAAAAAAATATATATATATATAATATCAATTATAAAGTTTAAATAAAAATCCATTTTCTATCGAAATATAATATATTTTCTTTAATTATATAAAATCTTTTTAATTGTTATAATCTTATTAAAATCTATATTAATAATAAATTAAAGTTTTTTACTTAATCTTAGTAAAGACTTTATAAAATTTTATTATAAAAAGATTTCAAAAATCGTTAAAACCGTTTATTTATAATATCAAAATCAAATTTAAACTTTTCTTAAACTTTATTTATTAATATATATTTGTAACGGAACAGACAGCTCTCTTCCGCCCACTGGCTTATATTATATATATAGTATAATACGACGGCTCTTTTGGATCTTCCTTTTACAGTTTAGAGCTCTAGCTTTATAGCTCCAGATCTAGACATTGTATAATACTTATTTCTAGAACCTTTTTACTCTTCTCGGCTTAACCCTTATAATTTCTAAATATCTGTATATATAATCCTTCTTTTAATACTTTATATAGCTTTTCATTTGTAGATTCTAAGTATATAATCGGAATCCTGTTTATACTCTTTTGGTTATAATATTTAAGGAATAATCTTTTAATTTCAAGATTTATATATTTACAAAATATGTTATCTATTTTTCGATATCACTAGCGCCAAAAACGCTTTAGCGATTTTGTAATATTTGTTTAATTATAGTATTATTCGATATATCTACAAAAGATATTTCGATATTATAGATATTAGTTAATATATCTATAAAAAGTCTTTTCATATCGAAACAATATTAGTAATACTATTAATACTATTAGTATTATTTTTTATTAGATAATTATTATATCGTTAGCTATCTAAAATGATTAATAGTATAATCTTCTCATAATTCTTAGTGATTTTGATATATTATGAA